CATTTGGAAACTTTTCCTGGCCCTCCAAAGTCATACCCTTCATTACATATTGTCTCAATTTCATCATTGTATGTATATTGAGCTTGTCTAGGTCGAAAGTGGCCATTTGTCATTTGTGGAGGGGAACACTGAATTTCTATGGAGGAATATGAATAAAAATATGTGGTCAATCTTTTACACCATGAAACAAGAACATTTATCCCAGGTCCTTGGGAAGTTTTCAATAGGTGGACAACAATGCCAAATCCAATCTGAATATCTGGCTGACTGTGTGATGAACAATAATGATAATCAAGGTTAGTAAAAAAAAAACCACACAACTGATAGAGACAACTTAAGGTTGCTCTCACTGGTCACTGACCAGCCAATCCCTGGCTAATGCACTTTCTTTGCTAGCTACCTTACCTTCAGGACTAGGGATCGATGTGAAAGACTACAGAGACCCTAAGAGATTAGTTGATCCCAATGACTTTCCATCATTTATTGACCAGTTATTTACCCAACCATTTATCGGTCATTGACCCAGGGGGTTGATACCGACCATGTTGGCGAACCCTGCCCTAAAGCTGCTGCTCCATTCTTACTTTGTTGCTTAGCTTTATGTGATATTACAATACTCAGGAAAAAAAAGAGTGAAATTAGTGCCCAAATGTAAGAACCACCAATACTGAAGTCATAAGGTGATTTCAGTCTAAAACAAAGATGTTTAATTCTGAGCTGGAGTTTGTCATCAAAGAAATCTTCCAAAAGTCTATACAGGGGTAGGCAACCTTGGCTCTTTTATGACTCGTGGACTTCAACTCCCAGAATTCCTGAGCGAGCCATGCTGGCTCAGGAATTCTGGAAGTTGAAGTCCACGAGTCATAAAAGAGCCAAGGTTGCCTACACCTGGTCTATACAGAAAATCAGTTATATCATAGATAAACTAGGGTTTAATGATGCTAATGATACAGAGGAGATTACAAGAGATTATCAACCCACTGTAGAAAACTATTGACCTACTGTGTCAACTCTACAAATGGGGGATAACACAAATAATCTAACTGTACCTTTGAAATATAAATCTGACATCAGCTTTTATTATGATGATGGTTTGAGTATAATTCTCCCAATGCAACTGAAAAAAGAATGTCAAGTAAATTCACAACTTTTAAGAGGTCAAGTTTTTTCCTCATAGATATCAACAAGGTCGAGAATTCTTTGAGAATAAAAGTTATGATAGACATCTCAGAGATGGAAATTTTATTCTACAAGGATTTGGCCCAGGTTAATCTACAATGTTTAACAGTACAATCTTGGAATATTTGCCTTATGGATATAAATAAGACTGAGAACTCCTTGAAGAAAAGATAAATACCCTTGGGAAGAAAAAAAATTCATTCTATGAAGACAAGCTGGAGGAATGACTTAAATTTAATGATTAAATTAGTTAGGATGGATTTTTATAAGTTTTGAAATATATATATTGAAAGAAAGCATTAAGGTAGCTTCATGTGTATACAATAAGTTTGTAAATATATGTCCTCTAGTTTTTTTTGTTTGTTTGTTTTCTAATACTGTGAAAACCTTAATGTAGTTTTGTGTTTTGTTTCCGGGTTTAAAATACAGAAATTGTTGTTGTTGTTGTTGTTGTTGTTTTGTTTTGCTTTGCTTTCCCTTTTATGTATAATATTTGAGTATTATATTCAACTTGAGCTTAAAGTTAGTAAAATATCTAAACTAGGGAAAGGGTTGTCTCCCTTTGTGTTAAAAAAATAATTTTAAAAAATTGAAATTATATAGAGGATTCCCTTAATATGAATTATGATAAAGATTAATACCAATAGAGGTATATATTATTCCCCACTGCAAAGAGAAGCAGAGATGGTCAAACTGATTCTTATATCCAAAGAAGAGAATATATCTAATTTTGCTTCTACTTTGAAATTGCTTCCAGATTTTCTGCTTGCAATGAAAAAGAAAAATGAAAACTTGATTTGTTTTTGTTAATTAGATTTATTGTTATAGAAATGGTTTGTACAAACTGTTGTGTAAAAGCAAAAAGTTGAATCTATATCTATTAATGTTAATGGCCTCAATTCTCCAACTAAAAGGAAGAAGTTTCTAAATAGGCTTAATAAGATGAATTTAGATATAATTATGTTACAAGAAGTCCACATAAAAAAACAACATCAATATTTATTAAATTGTCCTAAATTGGGGAATATGTTTGCGGCACTTTTGCAATATAAGAAAGGAGGAGTGGTAGTATATATCAAACAAGAAATTGTGGCTAAGCAAATTTATAAGGATGAAGATGGCAGAATCTTAATAGTGGAAATAATCTTGAATAAAACTAAAATTCTCCTGGTTGGAATTTATGCCCCGGATGATGGGCAAAAACATTTCTATAAGAAACTCCATAACATCATTAGTCAGATGGAATATGACAGCATCTGCATAATAGGTGACTACAACGCAATTGTGGATAAGAACCTAGACTATAAATGTGGAAAGAGTAGAAAAAGAATTAGAGGAACAATACCTGATACATTCTTAAAAATGGCAGATGAGTTCAATATCCAGGATACTTGGAGAGAAAGGAATCTAGGGAAAAAACAGTTTACCTTCTACTCTGGACGTCATCAATCATGGTCTAGAATTGATATGGTGTGGATGTCAGCTGACTTAAATTTAGAAGTAGAGGAGATTGTAATTGATACGAATACCTGGGCTGACCACAATCCGATTAGAATTAGATGGAAGGGGCAAAAAAACATGAGGAGATGGACTCTGAAAAGGGCAATCTTAAACCATAAAGAATTCAAATTAAAATTAGAAGAACAATTGGACCTGTTTTTTAAGTTAAATAAGAAGGAAGACACAAATTGCCAAAATTTATGAGACACAGCTAAAGCTTACATGAGAGGCATTGCAATTTCTTATATGGCTAGGCAACATAAAATCAAAACACAACGTCAAAGACAATTAGAAGAAGAACTAAGTAAAGTTGAGGAAAACCTGCAAAAGGAACCACAAAGATGTGATCTGAAGCAACAGATAAATTTAATTAAACATAAGATGGATATTATCATGAAGGAAGATTTAGGACAGCAGATAAAATGTACTAAACAAAACTTCTTCGAAAACACCAATAAACCAGGGAGATGGTTGGCTTATAAAATCAAAAAACATAACAATAAGCAGAGGGTTACCAAACTTTATAATGCCAAGGGTGATATGATATGCCAGAACGAAGGAAAGAAACTAGTGGCATACGAGTTTTATAAGAATTTATACAAAGACGATGAAAAGAAAAATAACTATGACATAGTACAGTATTTACAATTAGCTGATTTACCAAAGGTGCCAGAAGAATTTAAAACTCTGCTGAATAAAGAGATAACACATTTAGAACTCTCGGTCGCAATTAAGAAACAAAAGAATAATAAAGCACCTGGGCCAGATGGTATACCTGTAGAAATGTATAAAATCGCACAAGAATCTTTAAGCCCAATGCTGTTGGATTTATTTAATGAGGTTTTAACCCAAGCTAAAATACCAGCTTCATGGGAAGAAGCTTTCCTTACTTTGATTCCTAAAGAAAATACAGACCAGGCGCAAATCAAGAACTATAGACCCATTTCTCTTTTGAACTCGGATTATAAGATTTTCATGGCAATAATGGCGCAAAGACTTGAAAGGTTTTTAGTGGATTTTATACATTCTGATCAAAACGGCTTTCTATCTAAAAGATACATAAGAAACAATGTTAAGACAGTTTTGGACATATTGGAGTATTATGAAGTGCATAATAAAAAGCAAATGTGTTTAATTTTTCTTGATGCACAAAAAGCATTCGACAACGTAAAATGGGATTTTATGTTCAACCAATTATTGTATATGGATTTCGGGGGAATTTTTTTAAATATGTTTAAATCAGTCTATTCTAAACAGGTGGCCAAAGTAATAATCAATGGAGAATCAACTGATAGCTTCCAAATCCAAAAAGGCACGAGGCAAGGTTGCCCACTATCACCACTGTTGTTTATATTATCTCTTGAGGTATTAACTAGAGTAATTCGGCAAGATGAACAGATCAAAGGTTTAGAGATTAAGAAAGAGACATATAAAATACAAGCCTTTGCAGATGACTTAGTTTTATAATCGAAGAACCATTACAATCAGGGATAAGATTGATGGAAACACTGAGTAGATATGGGGAAATAGCAGGCTTAAAGATAAATAAAGAAAAAACTAAAATGCTCGTCAAAAACATGACCAAAATCCAGGAAAATGAATTGGTTGTCAGAATAGGTGTTCAAATTACAAACAAGATTAGATATTTAGGGATACAATTGACTGCCAGATGTGCTACACTTAAAAGGGATAATTATGATAAGTTAATAGAACAGATCCAAAAAGACCTCGATATTTGGACTAACTTACAGCTCTCTTTTATGGGCAGAATTGCGGTGATTAAAATGAACGTGTTGCCGAAAATTTTATTCTTGTTTCAATGCATACCTATAAAACTAGACAAGATTTTTTTTTTCAAAATTTGAATAAAATTATGCTTAAATTTATCTGGCAAGGAAAAAGAGCAAGGATTAAATTAAAATTATTGCAGGACTCAAAGGAAAGAGGGGGATTTGGCCTTCCTGACTTGGAGAAATACTACCAGGCTACAGCACTAGTATGGGTAAGGGATTGGATATTATTAAAGAACAGGAGACTATTATGTCTGGAAGGCCATGACCTACAAATAGGATGGCATGCTATATTATGGGATCATAAATATAAAATACACAAATATTTTCGAAGGCACTATATTAGACAAGCTCTTATCGATATATGGGCAAAAATCTGGCAACCAAATTATACCAGGTACCGAGTTGGATCTCATCGTTAGAAATGCATGTACATCCAAAATTTATCCAATTAGATAAGATTATAACATATAAAAACATTTTAGATGAAAGAGGTGGAGAGCAATTGGTACTCCTTTGTATTTCCCTAAATTGGGACTGAATACGTCCGCAAACTCCTGGCAGATAGCTGCCAAATCTGCTGTTTGGGTTCTGTTGATGCCAGTCACATGGATGCCCAGGGCATCAAACCAATCTAGGCTGATCAGAGTTGTCCTCTGGCCTTCAACGACCATGACACTGAGGGGACCCTCAAATTCTCTGAATGACACTTTTATTGTAGCTTTTCCTTTAACCGCTATGCGGGAGTTTTGAAAATCTGTCAAAACTAAATCTGATGGCTTGAGTCTGACTCGTTTCCCGCCATGTCTGCAGATGAAATTAAAAGTCTTATAGGAAATTATAGACACAGCTGATCCAGTGTCCAGTTCCATGGAGCATGGAACTCCTTGCAGCTTGACTTTTAGTCTAAGCTTTTATTTTAGGGGGGCGATGGGCTCCAGTTCTGAGAATGCTTCTTCTTCCAGAGCAAAATCCTATTCTATTCTACCCTACCCCGGGGCCCCATTACCTCTCCTGGGGAAGTCTTCGTGTAGAGATTCTCTCTGGCGACCTTTACAGACGGTAGCAATGTGGCCTTGTTTGCCACGTGCTCGGCACACAGCTGTGCGAAACCGGCATTCTGAGCACTGGTGTCATCCACCGCAGCCAAGACAGCTAGGGAAGAGAACTGCCTTGTCTAGCGGCAGCTGCCTTCTTTCTGGGATCTTCTGCACCCGGTCGATCTCAATGTCTACGTCTGGGTCTTCTGTTCTCTCTGACTCTTCATGATGCACAGTCGTCTGGCTGGGAAGATTCTTTGAGGGATGTAAAGCCTTGATGGCTCCACCTGCAGCCTCTTCTGCCATCACTTCTTTCAGTGCATACTGGAATGTCAGGGTCTCTTTAGCAAACAGCCTCTGCTGCAGGTCTCTACTTCTAAGGCCACATACCAGTCAGTCCCGGAGCCTGTCTTCTAGGTTGGGAAATTCGCAGAGCCAGGACGCTTGGTGTAGGGTAGCCACAAATTCAGCAACTGTTTCACCTGGCTGCTGTTCTCTCTGCTCGAACGTGTGTCTATATGCAATAATGGACAATCTTGGTTCAAAGTGCTCATTGAGTCTTTGTTTCAAGTCAGCGAAGGTGACTGACTCCAATGTAGCAGGATCGATGAGGTTCTCGTCTATATCAAAGGTGGCTTGGCAACACACGCACAACAAGGTTGCAGCTTTTAAATTATCTTCTCTGACAAGGTTCACTCTGAAGTAGTTTTCTACTCTTGAGACGTATGAACTCCAGCATTCGGGATGCGTCACATCAAACTCAGAAAGCTTGCCAACTTTGGCCATGGCTTGGCTGTTATTCCATCTCCAATGCCTTATGCTGCTAGGACTTCTGTGAGTTTCCTAGGAATGGGTCCCTTAGGAAGGTGATACCTCCAGAGTTTGTGTACTGGCAGGCAGAAGGGGGGAATGCAGTTCCAACCAGGGCGCTGTTGCCTGGTCTTACCCCTAAGTGACTTAGCTCTTTCTTCCTAGCAGCATAATCCCACCTCGTTGCCACTGTTGTGTAGTGGGAACAGCGAGGCATTGAAGACATGAAGTTGAAATAACAGCTCTTTATTAGGTTCTCACAGAAGCAAGTTCTAGCAGCTGCTTGACTTATATTTATACGGACCCCCACTAGGCGGCAGCCAATCAATGTAAAATACTCATTCCCACCTAAAATAAAGGCTTAAAGTTATACAGTCAGTCTATAATTCAAATAGAACAATCAGTTAACTGTTTTTTATAACAGACCTTTTGAATTGCTTAATACATAACACCAACATTCCCTTGCAAGCTGGGATGAAATTCACCAGAGATCTGAGCATTTCTCCAGTAAAATTATTCAGGATTTAAAATAGACCAAGGCTAAAAAGTCTCTGTTCCAAAATGGCATAGTTGGTAGACTGCTAGGCTGGAAAATGGCCAGGAGCTTCAACAAGGGTGCTTTATTCCTTCCAGAAATATGTCAAACAGTTTATTGTTGGATGGATATTTATTAGTCTTACAAACCACTGGTAGACAAATTTTATTGTTCTTCCTATCACATGAGGATTTCAGAAGACTTGTAGCTTATGGTCAAAAACAACACAAGTGTCAAATTATATGTAAGAAGCAGTGGAACTAATCTTTTACTATATCTCTACTTGTCAAATTGTGAACATTCAAACCCTAAGTGCATCAATTGAAGACAAAACAAACATCTTTTTTGTTTTTAAAGGATTACAAAATGCTATTAACATTTACTTCCTGTTTGAGCAAGGTGACTGAAAGATTTTTTAAAAAATTACTGAGTAGGAAGGGGGGAAAATGCAATGTGTGGCCTGCAACGCTTTCATGGTTCTTGGATACTTTCACCATACCTTCTCTTCCCACACTGCTCTCAGTGTTATGTTTCTGCCATTAACTTACTTCCAGACTTTGCATGTTGAATAGAACATTTCAGTTATCTTGACATCTGTTGGGAATCAAACTTTGCCACTACCAAGAAATTTCTGACTTGTATAGCTGACGAAGGAACAGGTGGATCTACCAGTAACACAGAATACTAATCAACAGAGAGGACTTTGGGGAAATCCACATATGCCATATTTCAAGAACATCTCACAGTTTCCCTAGAACAGTGGTGGCGAACCTATGGCATGGGTGCCAGAGGCGGCACTCAGAGCCCTCTCTGTGGGCACGCGCACCGTCACCCCAGTCCTAGGCCTTCAGCTGGGTTTTATAAAATGTTTTTGCTTTAGGCCTCCGCCGTGTGCAAAACAAAAAAGAAGGTTCAATCAATCAGTCAATTTCAACTTCTTGCGGGGAAAAAAAAGATCTTGCAAAGTTGGAATTGATTGATTGAACTTTTTAGTCCCACCCAGTCTGCCATTATCACCGCAGCCACGCCCACCCAATTGGCTACACCCAGCCAATGGGCCACACCCAGTCAATGGGCCACACCCACCTGGCGCCCGACGATGCATAAGTAGGTTTTGGGTTGCAGTTTGGGCACTCGGTCTCTAAAAGGTTTGCCATCACTGCCCTAGAACATGCCTGAATGCATCTGCCTGTATCTCAGATTCAGATCCTGAGTTGTACAAGTATAGGTGTGAATGTGTGTCTGAGTGGAGCTTTTAGTTCAGAAAGTGTACAATAAACGTTTTGCCACTTTTCTGGTACTGGATTTCCTCCACTCACTGTGACGAGATATGGGTGTTTTATTTTGTTTTTTTAAAAAAGCTTTGGTATTTTTTTATGAGAAAAATTATAGAAATCCTAATAAACTAGTCTCCTCTCACCATAATTATATTACCTCATCTAGCATAACTATAGGAATATATTCATAAACAATGAAGCAATTTCTGTTCCAGAAAGAAACTTTATAGAAAAAACTACTTACGTTTACAGACAGCAGGAGGACTCCAATCAAGTGCGGTGCATTTGGAAACTTTTCCTGGGCCTCCAAGGACATACCCTTCATCACATATTGTCTCAATTTCATCATTGTATGTATATTGAGCTCGTCTAGGTCGAAAGCGGCCATTTGTCATTTGTGGAGGGAAACACTGAATTTCTATGGAGGAATATGAATAAAAATATGTGGTCAACCTTTTACACCATGAAACAAGAACATTTACCTATCCCAGGTCCTTGGGAAGTTCTCAATAGGTGGACAACAATGCCAAATCCAATCTGGCTGACTCTGTGATGAACAATAATGATAATCAAGGTTAGTAAAAAAAACACACAGCTGATAGAGACAACTCAAGGTTGCTCTCACTGGTCACTGACCAGCCAATCCCTGGCTAATGCACTTTCTTTGCTAGCTACCTTACCTTCAGGACTAGGGATCGATATGAAAGACTACAGAGATCCTACGAGATTAGTTGATCCCAATGACTTTCCATCATTTATCGACCAGTTATTTACCCAGCCATTTATCGGTCATTGATCCCGGGGGTTGATACCGACCATGTTGGCGAACCCTGCCCTAAAGCTGCTGCTCCATTCTTACTTTGTTGCTTAGCTTTATGTGATATTACAATACTCAGGAAAAAAAAGAGTGAAATTAGTGCCCAAATGTAAGAACCACCAATACTGAAGTCATAAGGTGATTTCAGTCTAAAACAAAGATGGCCAACTGATTTGTGGATCAATTCTGCCCTTTAAACATATCTCCAAAATAGACTGAGTTGCCTCCTTGTGGGACTATCACCCAAATTTTCCCTAAAAGAAACAATTACTTTTTCTACACTTTGTGAGTTAGATACAAACTGTCTTGGTGAATTGTGTTCCTCTGTCCAAGAAATGCTACATGAAACATTCATTCCTCTTTGGCCCCTCATTTATTGCTGAGCCATATTACTTATGATAGATTGCAGACAGAAATAAATGCTTGCCTCAAACGATCTTCAGAAGAATAATGCCCTTCTTTGAAGAAAGATATTTCTAAGTCTGATCAATTAAGATTAAAGGAAGTATAATATGCCATTCAGCTCCACAAGTTCCATGAACCCATGAATCCTGAGTTTTAATTAATCCAAGATTATTAAAATTTTGAAATTATAAGCTTAATGGTTCTTTTTAAATTATCCCTTTAAAACTAATAATAGCTAGTTTAGGAAATCAATTCAGTATGCATGTAAATAATCCATAAATCTAGAGGAAAATTGAGACAATATTTTCTTTTATATGTTAAAAAATGGAAGGATGAGTCTTCAAAGGGAATGCTTGTTATTCCTGTTTTCTGTATGTCTGATAAAAACAAAATCAAATGTAAACATACAGAGACTTCTTTCCCTATTTTACCACAAAGTTTTTAACTAGGTCAGATTGATAGGAGCTGCAATTCTAGGCATGCATAGTAAAAAGAATAAAATGTGTATAAGATTTCAAAAAATCATGACCATTAGAAACTCATACAGACCTTTACATTCAAGCTTTGAACCCCATCCATTCTCGGTACACAATGCATCTGGTCTGTCAGCAAATGTGTATCCTTCAATACAGGAGAATCGGATTCTCTCACCTTCCTTATAAATGAACCTTGGAGATAGTATGTTTCCATTTTCAATATGGTCTGCCTGGCAAGTTATTTCTACCATAAAATATAAACAAAATGTTTTTTTCATTAATATCCTCTTTATTTGCTTGAATAAAAAAGAATGCTGTATTACTAAAAAGATGAATAATAATAAATTTTAATGCCATCTACTATTCAGTTATTTTCACAATCAAATGAAATGCCTTAAGCCTCACTGTTGTGATTCCTCGCCAGCCAGTGGGCCCCGCAGCTGAGTCTGGTGAATTAGAGGAGGAGGGGCCTTGAGTGACATCAGAGTCAGAGGAAGGCTCTGAGGAGTTCCAAGATTTACAGTCTGATCAGGAGCCTGGCCCCTCTACTCACGCTCAGGCTGAAACACAGCTGTGCTGGGAGTCTGAGTTGGACAGTGATGACTCACAGCTGGAAGATATCCAGGATACACATAAACACCGGCAAGAAAAGAGAGTGGGACAGAGGAATGCAATGGGGTGGCTCCAAAGGCAAAGGAGAAGGTATTAGTAAGCCACGCCTTGGCTGCATAATAAAAAGGAAGGTGTGGGAGGTGTGGTTGCCGAAGGCAACCATTTGTGTTGAGGAATCAAGTTTCTGTGAACTGTGTTTTGTTTGCCTTGGACATTGTCTCAGGTCTGTGAATAATAAAAGGGGATTGGTTTTTTCCTGAGGTTCCAGCCTGCTTGTTGGAAGAGGGGTTTCTCCTTGTGAGCTTAACAAGGACTCACATAGCTGGGGCAGAACACTCACCCAGTGTCTTCATGTTAATATTAAACAGACATGGGAAGGGTGCTGAGCACTGAGGCAACCCGCAAAGCACAATCTGTGGGCTAGACTTCTCCTTCCATGAATGCTGACTAGAACTATCTCAAAGGAAGAAGAAGAACTAGTGTAACACAGTGCTACCCAACTCAATCCTTGAAGCCAGCCCAGAAAGTTACCCTGATTAAAAGCCACTAAAATATCAAGGAGAGAAAGAATGGATGCATCCTACTCTCACCACAGGTATGATGAATTCCATTTTAATTCTGTACTCAGATCTGAAATCTGACTGAAAAGAGACACAATAATTCACTCCCTCCACAGTTTTCTGAAACAATTGCATCTTCTTAAAAACCTTCCCCAGGAAGGGCAGGTTGGGGACTGGACAATATTTATCCAGCTAGTAGTGACTTATTAAGGAAAGAGTACACTATTGGCTCCTTAAGTGAAGGTAGGACCATCCAATGATTTATCCAACGTATGCCTAGCATATTTCTCACAATCCTTCTTACAAAAACCTGGGTTGCCTTGAATAAAACCACCAAATAACTATCTGCAGGTGCAATAAGGACAGAATACTATGGATACTTCACTGCTCTTAGCACCATGAGATAGATCTTAGTAATAGTTCTAAGTCATACTCACTTGGCTTCACTACTTGTCCTCCAATGGTACTCTAGATCTCTCTTCTCCCATTTCACCTAGAAAGTTCCATTTAGAACCAATTGGGGTTCATCAGTTGTCTGGGGTAGACCAAATAGGTTCAGTCTTTCTGTAGTGGGGAGCAGCCCGTGGAACTCCAAGCCAATCAAAGAGTGATCCAACCATGACAAAGGAATGTAATAATCACACTCAGAGTTCACTTAACTTCCCTTCACTCACCTATACATTCTGGAACAGGTGCGCTCCAAGTGCCATCAGCTGTACAGGTAATTTTATTAGATCCTTTGATTTTCAACTGTCCAATACATCCAAATATCACTAGATCACCAGATAAAAAATCTTCATTCATTTGAGATTTTGCACCCTGAATAATCCTCACGTTGCTTGGTGGTACTATTGGACGACATTTGTTGACTGCAAATAAAGTAACATTGTGATATAAAGCTAATTAAAAAAATGTTTCAGATTTAGGAAAAAGGAAGCAAGCAAGGAAATGAAACATATCACGAACCCAACATATTTAAAAATCTGGTGATCTACATAGTGTAGTTTCCAGCAAAATGGCAATTTAAATGTTTTTTTAATGAAACAAAAACAAAGTCATTTTATCCACGATCTTACTGTGATCATTAGAAAATACAAATCTATTAAAAATAGATAAGTGGATATATTCTCAATTAGCACAGAAATCTTTTACTCCATCACATTGGGTAATTGAGCAAATAATGGGAGATAGATTACCATGAAGTACATTATTATTGCAGCAATGGTAACAATATTCATGAAGAATATATTTAACAATAAAGACATCAGCAAAGAAATAATTTATCTCACTCATATACCCCAAGCTGATACTGAGGCACTTTAAAGAAAAATACACAAAAAGATTAGTTAAAGCAAAAATTACCAAGTTTTTTGTGGTTTCAATTTTTGAAAATATGCTCTGTATATATTCACAGAGTGGATGCCTATGTAAGCTAATTAAATGTGGGCTGAATGACATGATAAATGAATAAATAGATGACTAAAAAAATGGAGATCAAGGTGTCCATTTGTGAGATGCCATAACTGTCTTTTACTATTCAGTAGTTTAATGGTTTGGATGAGATGAGGCAATTCTTAACAAATCTAAACATGAAAGAACAATTGAGTAGAATAATTAATACAAAAATAATATTAAAATTATTTAGGTGGAATGGTATTAAAATAACATAATGAACTTTAACAAAGACCAATTTCTTTACTTAGGATATAAAAAATCAAATGACAAGTACAGGTTGAAGAATTATTTATTTATTTGTTTGTTTGTTTGTTTATTTGACACCCATATCATATTAAATTACTCTGGGCAGCTTACAACATAAAAAAACATTGAAAAGCATAGAATCATCCACTATAAAACATAGCAAATAAAATCATTAATAGACAAAATGGCAAAGAAGGGAGACAGACACAGTGGGGAGAAAGGGAGGTGGCATTGAATCTTAATTAATCAACCACCTCCAGTATGAAGCTCCTCCATTGGGTCCCCAAGCCATCTGTCAGAGGCAGGTCTTAAGACTGTTACAATTTCACTTCAGGGGATAAGATGTTCCAAAGGGCAGGATCCATGGCAGAGAAGGCTCCTGGATCCCACTATTCTTTAGCTGATGGGATCGTCAATGTTCCCTCTCTGCCAGCGCGGGGGTGGGTAAGCCAGTCCTATTGGAGTGAGACAGTTTTTCAAGTAGACTTGACCCATGCTGTGCAGGGCTTTAAATTACCTAGCTGGTAATGGTACTTGTAGAAGATCTTGGAATAGAAGTAAATTAAAAATTGAAAATGAGCCAAAAATGAGATTTCACTAAAAAAATTAACTAACTTTAATTACCAAATGGTAATGCTGTTTGGTCAATGACCAGTAAAATTTGAAAAAAAAAATTACAGTACAAAAGTAAAAATGAAACAGCTGAGATAAATATTAGCAAAACAAAAATAAAATGACAAAAATGTAACGTACTACATTTTAATTTTTAAATAGCTGTCTATTATCGGTGCAAGTATAAAATCTAGGAAGTTATCATCTAAAACAGCGGTTCTCAACCTGTGGGTCGCGACCCCATTTGGGGTCAAACGACCATTTCACGGGGGTTGCCAAACAACGCAGTCCGCCATTTTTTTTCCCTTTTCCTTAGCTGTGCTACTCCCTCTTATTCTATTGGCTTTTGAAAGCCAATAGAATAGACTCTATTCAAGAGACTCTATTCTATTGGTGTTCGAAAGCCAATAGAATAGACTCTCTTGAATAGAGTCTAATTCTATTGGCTTTCAAAAGCCAATAGGAATTGTCCAGGTTGTCTCTGCCCTGCTGAGCCCGCCAAAAGTCCCAGTCTGCAAACGGTGCTGCAAGTTGTCTGCAGCTAAGGTGAACTTTCTGGACATTTCCACCCCTCCCTGCTGAGCAACTACTAAATGTAAGTAAAAGAGGGCCAGGGGTGGGAGGTGGGAGGCTGGTGGGCGCAGGAAGGGTTGCTGGTGCGCGTGGGGCCCAGCAGGTGCCTTACCTCCCTTGGGATGGGCCAGCTGGTGGCCCAGCTGGTGGTCACCCTGCGCCCTCGCTGCCGCGTGCCATGGCCGCCCAGGAATGCCTGGGTCTGCCTGCCGCCGCACTGAACGTGCGGTGGCCAAGGTAAGGCTAGCGGAGCAGCAGTGGGTGCAGGGAGGGTTGCTGGCATGCGTGGGGCCCGGCGGGTGCCTTACCTCCCTTGGACTGGGCCAGCTGGTGGCCCAGCCGGTGGTCACCCTGCGCCCTCGCTGCTGCTTGCCATGGCCACCCAGGAGCGCCTGGGCTTGCCTGTCGCCGCACCGAACAGGCATCTTGCTCCGCGATTGCCGGCTCCGCACAAGAAGCAGAGTTTCTTTTTCTTTCCTTTTCTTTTCTTTCTTCTACCCCCCTTTCTCCCCCTCTCCTGTCCCCTCTCCCATTCTTTTCTCTCCTCTCCTTCCCTGGCAACATGGCGGTACAGGAGGGGTGCAGAGAACCTTCTGCCAGGCCCCTCTTCTTCGGCTTGCCCGCAACTTCACCGAAAAGACCTCAACCGATGGCGGCGAGATTCGGCCGGCTGAGGGGGCCACTCTAGCTCGAGCAGGAGAGCCATCTCTATGCTCCAGGCATCCAAAGACTGTGTCGGACCAGCGCGCGAGGGTCGGAGCGCTCTTGGGAAGGGAGGAAGTAAGGAAGGAGGGAGGAAAGGAAGGAAGGAAGGAAGGAAGGAAGGAAGGAAGGAAGAAGGGCGAGCTCGAGCTCAGCAGACGGTGGGTGGAGTGGAGCAGCAGCAGCAGGATAGGGCGGGGTGGGGCTTCGCAGCGCCCACGGGCCAGACGCTGAGACTGGCAATTTAGCAGCAACTCCCCTTTGTGTCTGGACTGAGAAAAGGGGAGCCTCTGCCAGCCAGCCAAGCCCAGCTCCCGGAGGCGGGGAGGTGACACGACGTAAGAATCCCCCTGCACGAAGCCTTCACGGGCAGGCTCCCTTCACCCGGAGGGTGGAGGAAGAGCCAGGCAGACGGGCAACTGAACTCCCCAGTGGGGTGGAGGAAACAGGGCAGGGTCGCGAGTGAGTGTGTGAGGGTGCATGAGGGTGAAAGGGTTTGGCCACCGCGGTAACACTTGTCATGGGTTCCCTCTCAGGTTCTGATCGCTGGCGAACCGGGCTCTTGCAAGGGGAGGGAAGAGGGTGGAAGAAGTGGCTCTCCCCTCCCCTCTTCCCACTGGGGCCATGAAAGGAGGGAGGGGGAAGACAGAAAAAAGTGCATTTTTCCAAGGGCTGCCTAAGAGGAAAGGCCGCTTTGCGCCGGGCTGCTCGGAGCCAAGAACTGGGAAACCCTGATTTGCTGCTGCTGCTGCTGCTTTGTAGAAACGCCAGGACTTTCTGCCCATTTCCTTGGTTGGAGTTATTTCCTTTTCTGCGTGCGTGTGGGTCACGTGTGGGTCACGTGTGGTTGTGCGTGTGGGTCATGTGTGGTCACGTGGGTGCGTGGGGTCGCGGCATTAGGAAGGTTGAGAACCACTAATCTAAAAGAAGATGGGTAACATGTATTAAATCGGAAGTAATGAATAAAAGATAAGAGGTTGTATCTAAAGCACCTGAACGTAAGACAACAAGCAATGGATGGAAACTAACCAAAGAGAGAAGCAACCTAGAGCTAAGGAGAAACTTCCTGACAGTTAGAACAATTAATCAGTGGAACAACCTGCCTCCAGAAGTGGTAAATGCTCCAACACTGGAATTTTTAAAGAAGAGATTGGACAGCCATTTCTCTGAAACGGTACAGGTTTCCTGCCTGAGCAGTGGGTTGGACTAGATGACCTCCAAGGTGCCTTCCAACATTATCATCATTACTAGTACTACTACTACTACCACTACTACTACTACTATTATTATTATTATTATTATTATTATTATTATTATTATTATTATTATTATTATTATTACCAGTTATGCTTATTTTAATTGCAGTAATCCAGAAAGTGGCTGTTACATAAGTGATAAAGGATTCTGAATTTTCTAGATGAAAACTCATATATAAATTTATGTTTTAGGGACAAAATATAACTCCATATAATTTACAATTTAATAATACATTTCACTTCCAAGTGATAACAATGGTAGACTAAGATGTCTCTGGAATATGATATTGTGGTGAAGACTGATGATTGGCTGACAAGCCTGAGCCTGCAGAGCCTCCTTGAATAAGGAACGAACAAGAGAGTGCCCTATGTTTCCATTGAGGAAACTGCAGGACTTTAAGGTCCTTGCAGCTGACTTGTAAGTCTGAGTGGCCAGAAGACTCAGGAAAGTCAATGAGTTCAGGTCCACAATGGAGCCTTTAAGGGCATTGGGTTTGCTTAAAACCTCACTTTCTCAAGCACATTGGGATAAAAAATATTCTAAAGGGAAAAGGGGTTTTGGGAATAGCAGAACAATTAACTATTTGGTGAGTGAGCCTTCATTCTGGATTAAAGAAACAAATAAAATAACAATTTAAAAAAATTAAAATCAACAGCTTGACAGGACTTTTTTTCTAAATAAGTCTTAAATGGATTTAAAAGGATAGTCAAGTTTGAAATATTATTTTTACACAGCGCTTTTGAAATTATTAAATATATTCATTGCTTAATGAGAATGCAGATTGTTTGGCGTTTTAGTGAAAAGACAATTGGTGGAATTTTCAAAATGATGAGCTACAGGAATCCTAAAACAGAACATGTTATTTTAGAACAGGGGTGTCAGACTGCCAGCCCGCGGGCTGGATGCGTCATCCAGAAGCCGTGCCACCCCATTGCCGGCAATGGCAAAACAGAGAGAGAGAGAGAGAGAGAGAGAGAGAGAGAGAGAGAGAGAGAGAGAGAGAGAGAGAGAG